TGAAAAAGGGTATTCTAATATATTATAGAATTGTAAATAATCTGTACAAAGGGTTCTCTATTTATAGAGAATATTTGACCTACTTTTAACCTAATGGGCTTGGCCCAATACAACAAAGGGCTTGGCCCAATACAACAATAAATGACTAAATAAAAACTAAATAATAACTAAATCAATATTATTTACAACAAAAAATTATAAATATAAAGACTATTATAACCCTGAAATAAATTAAAATTACAAATACACCATGATTTTCGCCTCAAAACGATGTCGTATTGGGTTTACTTTAAGTCTGACGAGAATAATATTCTACAACTAACAATTCATTTATTTGCAAACCAGTCAGAATGCCGCATCGCATGGAGATCTTATCAGATACTATCTTGGATGCATTTTCACAACAGCAATAAGTAGCAAGGGCCTTAGCTGGTGGTCGAAGCTGTTTCCCTCTCGACGATGAGGCTTATCCCCCATCGTCTCACTGGCCGACCCTTTTTACTCCAGGAACAAGTATAAAGAAGTTGATTAATAATTCAATAATTGTGAATTTTAATAATTCTTATCTTTGAAGATCTTTTCTTTTAACTTTAATATTCTTATCATAAATTATTTTCAATTTCTATTCAATTCGAATATAAATTGAATTCTAAGATAATATAAAAAAAAAGAAAGAAGAAATTCGCGATTTTTGAAAAGATTGTATACAAAAAAATATAGAGACAAGATCTAGATTGTGTATATAAAAAATACATAAGATAAATTTGTATCCGAAAAGTCTAATATTTGCAGTAAGTACAGATAACTTATCTGCAGTAACTGCAGAAAAAGCGAACTCTTATTTTATACTATAAATCTTTTTTTTTTTAAAATTCCATTAAATAAACTATTTCCATAGAATCCTAAAATCAAAGAATAAACTTTAAATATATACCAGACGTGGTTACTTTACAATTGTTTATCTTTAAATTTTTTTATCATTTACTTTTTATATAAAAATTTTCTCTGCCGTTTAAAATTGCAAGTGTCGTGAATAATTAAAAAGCGTCATACCTTTCTTTACTATTTGATTAAGTATCATTTTTAAATAATAAACTACATATTAAAAATTAAAATTATTAAAAATGGAAAAAAAATTAAACAAATTTCAGAATAAACCTTTGAAGTTTACACACAGTTTTAATATTGCTCTATTTAAGTTTTAAAAGGGAAAATGTTTGTCCTTTTAAACACTGTTACATGATAGAAATAATGGTGAAAAAAAGTGAGAGGTTATTAATAATTATTTAATTTAAATATTAAATAAAATATAATATTTTAACTAAAATGACATAATTTTTATGTCTTATAAAAGGATAAATATTTTTTTAATTTTAAAATATAATATATATTTTTATTTTTTGAAAGATTTTTTAAAATTAATCCTTTTCAAATACAAAATTATCTGTTTAATTAAAAGGTTAAGTTAATTTTTTTAAAAACTTATTTAAATAAATCAATCAATCTTAAAATATGTTTAAAATAATTTAAATTTGATGGATCGATTATAACACTCAATCAATATTCTCGAATTCGAGTATCAAATATATTGCTGTTTTAAAATTTTAATAGAAAGGATTTTATCGCATTTGTTTTCTGTGCTAAATCAGTGAAGAAATAAACATTCAAACTGATGTTCACATGACTTTCGTTGGCTAGATTGATGATTACTAATTCTTTTCACTAATATCTTTTCTTTTGATATCTTTCAACACCAATTGAACAAAACAAAACAATAAAGTAAAAAAACGAAAAAGAAAAAAAAAGGAAGAAAATAATGTTGCTTTAATTTGCGTGCCCTTTGAAAAAGCACTGACATACGAATAGAGGTGTAAATAGGTTAGGTTTTGACTTAAATAGACCAGGCTTGTGTAAAAATTATTAGGTATGGTCTGGCCTAGTAGCCTGTGTAACCTCCAAATTACAAGTCTGCCCTGATCTATATTTAAAAAATAAAAGTCTTGGCCTAGGCCTGTTAGCCTGTTTAAGCCTATTAAATATTCAACAATTAAAAGAATAACTAAAATAATATTATTTTATTATTCAAAATTATTAAAATAATAATTTTATTTATTATATTTTAAATAAATAATTTTTTTATAGGCGGACCTGTAGGCTTATAAACCCGATATATACCAAAAAAGCCTATGGTCTATTTTCTAAGGGTTTGTTTTTTCCGATGTTAATTTAGATAACTTTATCTAATATTCATCAAAACGACGTCGTTTTGAGACAGAAATCATGGTATTTTTGTAATTTTAATTTATTTCAGGGTTATAATAGTCTTTATCACTCTAATTTTTTAATTTTTCAACCCCAAAACGACGTCGTTTCGATGAACATTAGATAAAGTTATCTAAAGTAACATCGGAAACTTTTTTCCCATTTTCTAAATAGGTTTTTTTAAAAGTATAGGTCTGTTCTATTTTACTATTTATAATAGGTCAAATCTGATCTAATATAGATTAGGCCGTAGACTCCTGTAGACCGGTCTAGCTCATTTTTACCCCTAGATACGGGAATGACACAAGAACCACGATGATCTAAAGGCTTCAGCAGTTTGTTATGAAATTTTGTGCTATAAGTATTAAAATTTGTACATCAAAATTCTGTTATCTGTTTTTTTCGTCATTTTCTTATAACTTTTTTGAAAGTTTATTTAGCTATGCAAGACTAAATTCTTTTACTTTTTGTTCATAAATGTTTAATAAATATAGTACACAGTTGGTTCTTTTTTTAAATGAATAAATATTTAATTAACAATATGTTTACAATTTTTTCAGATAATTAAATAATCTTTTCAAAATATATTAAAACTTACGAAGCAATTTTAGCTCTTTTTCTTGAGAAGAAAAAGTAACCAAAAAAGAGATTATAAAAAAATTGTATTATAAGTCTAATATGAACAATCATTATTTAGTTTAGCAAAAGTTATTATAATTTTTCCTCTCATTAATAACTTAAATAACTGATATGACAAGTGTAAGGAAATGATCATACATCAAATGTATCTAAATTTTTTTCTCAAATTTAAGAGAAATATATCAACCATATTCTTATAATTAAAAAAAAAAAAAGCACAATATTACGTTTCACACATCTATTCTTAATTTAAAAGCAATAAGGTTATGGGTTATTTTATTTATGAAATTGCCACATTAATTGTTTGAAAAAATTTCAACCTTCGTGTCCACTTAAAAGTCGTATTTTAATTTTCAATAAATTTCGTTTCAAAATGTAATATGTAACTGATAAGTCCATGAAATATGACGTGAAAAACATATAATTGTTTATCGAAATGTGGTTGAGTTAAAGACTAATGGGTTGTATTTTGTTTTTCAGGCCCATTAAGAAAAAAAATTAACCAAAGCAAAGAAGAAGAAAATACAAATGGGCTTGATATTGCACTTAAGCACAAAATGGCCCAAGTGCCAAATAGAAAGAAAAAGTTGAAAAAAGAAGAGGGTGCAGCGTGAACCAAATTTGGAAACATAGCCTTCTTCGTCATCAAACCCTAGTCCCTATCACCGTTCGAATCGCCCATCTCAAGTCACCCACAAAGCTGTGCCATTGACCTTCCAGCTCGATTTTTGCTAGCCGTTGAACCACACCACCCCTTCCTTGTAGGGAGTCACTTAACCATTGTTCTAGAAGTTTGATTCTAACCAAATAATGACCTGGAATTTGTTACAATCGGGTAGTGAGATTCTTTTTGTTGGAGTGCATGAGGAGAACGTGGAGCAAGGAGCGCTCGTGTTACTCACACTGAAGGAGCGAGCGTAGAGATTGTTGGTGAAGGGGCCCAAAACCTGTGCATGCGAAAGATCGAGTATAAAAAGCCTGGGAATTTTGTAGGGTCTCTCTCTTACACCTTCTTCAGCATTTTTATTTTCTTCTTGGTTATTTTTGTATTTGCGTTCTGAACCTTTATTATTCCAGTTCTTCATTTTTCTTTGTAAATACGAGTACAGTGACGAGACTATTTCTGTGAATAGCACTCGTACTGTAGCGTTAGAGTTCTGCATTTTTATTTTCTTTGTAGTTTCATTCATTTCTGTTAATTAGCTCAATTCTTATGGATTTGAGCTAAACTTTCTAAGAGTTGGGTGTTTGAGACCCAAACTATACGTTTATGATAGTAATGTTTAGTTTCCGTAGTTCAACTCTGTTTATATATTTGAATGCTTTTTCTATTTCGGCCGAATGAATTATGTGTGTTAGGAGAAGTGTATTGAGAAATATTCTTTTTTGAAAACTGAGTTGTACTCATTGACTCAAATAAGAGATTATTTGAGGGAGTAAGTCAGGAGTGAATTTTACTCTTCCATGTGATTATAAGGACCTGAACTTCAAGCTCTAAATTCCACCAGCTTAGGGTTAGATTGTGTAGGAACAAAAGGAAATAGATTTTTAAGGGATTCAAAATCTACATTAGTATGCCAAATGGAAAAGTAATTGTTAAAGAATTTTGCTAAATAATTACACATCATGATCTGTAAGGAAGGAATCATACCTAACCCTTTTTTTGAATTAGGGTGCGTATACTTTGCATACTCTTTATCGAGGGCAACGTTAAGTAACACGCAACGCAAGGACCGAATCATTGGCTGCGACGTGAAACATAAACATAACCTGCTTTTTCTCTTTTAACCTCGTTTTGCTCAGTCACAGTGAAAAAGCGAGAAAGATGACAGCTTGGAAGATACATGATACTGATGATAGCGAATGAAAACAAGCAAAGTAACGTTTTATTTTTCTATCTTCATTCTCACAGCCTTGAAGATCATTCTAATTTAATTATTCTTCCCGTGTCATCTAGATAAAGTGATCACGATTGGGAACAGTGTTGTGAAGTATCAGATTCTATTCTATGCTATAAAAATGCATGCAACCAAAATGATATGCATATAAGTTACATCCACATTTCAAGCCTTCTTCAATTTCCACTTTGACTAATTAAGATGCCTAGTTCTGTCGACGAAATATTGCCCTACATTGCACCAGGTGATGAAGTCGATGATTATATAGTTGACTATGCATTTGAAGGAAAATGGGATAAGGTTATTGCTTTGTACTATAAATTCCCAGAGGTTCACACTGCAATGATTAACTATTCCGTTGGCACTGCATTGCATTTGGCGGTACATTTGGACGAAGAAGATGTTGTGAAAGATCTTGTGCATGCGATTTTGACGAAAGAAATGGACGAAGAAGATGCCGTGAGGGAGCAGCAGCAGCAGCAGGGCCCACAAAGTGCAAAGAAGAAGGCTCTGGAAATGGAGAACGAGCGAGGGGATACACCTCTGCACGTTGCAGCATCAAGCGGTTTCGCGAGAATATGCAGGTGCATTATAGGAACAGATAACGAGAGGATATATTTGCTGAGTCGCAAAAACGAACAAGGGGAGACACCTCTCTTTCTAGCTGCTATCAATTGGCAAAAACAAGCCTTTGCATACCTCTCTGATATTTCAAGAGATAGCATCACTTTGCAAGATCTTGTACGAAACAATGGGGATAGTATTCTTCACTGCGCTATCAGTAGAGAATATTTCGGTAACCAACCAACACTTTCCTACTGCTATACATTTTGAGTTCACATTCATCTTTTTTCATTTTTTCTAAACCCCACCATTTGACCTGTATAATAAGTTTGATTATTGAGAGCCACATCTCCAAAAAGGTGAAGAAAAGTTCAAATCCCAAACGGAATTAATGGAACTTGCTAAAACTTTGAACACGTGTTAATTAATATCCCTAGAAAAGGAATTAATTTTATATTCAATGTTAATGGTTAATCCACTTGTATATAATAATTCTTATAATTAATAAATTAAAACTGTTAAATATAAATGTAATAGATAATTTATAATAATCCTGCCTTGATACTTTATTTTATATTTAGTTCTTTATGTTCTTTAGTAATTGTAAAATTATTAATGCATTAATGACTAAATTAACAGATTTGGCAGTGATAATAGAGCATTATTATGATTTCCTGAGCACACATCCCAATAAAGAGGAATTCACTCCGCTCAAAGTCCTTGCCACTAGGCCGTCGGCCTTCCGAAGTGCAAACAAGCTTTCATGGTGGAAGCAAATCCTGTACCGTTGTAAGTAATATATACATCAGTTTTATAAGAGTTATGTTGTAGGAAAAGTGATTGTGTAATGTTATAGAGATTCATTTTGCGTGCCTTAATTTTTTTATTTTTTTTGCTTCAAAAAATGCGAGCCCCACAAAATATTGTGTGTTTAGGAATTTTTTGTGTGTCATGTTGCAGGATGAATGCAAACCCCTATATATATATATATATATATATATATATATATATATATATATAGGGGTTTACATTTCTGTAACTGTTGTACATACAACAATCAAATACTTGCTATATATATACTTAAAAGTATTAAATGCAGAGAATCATAACCATACAAAAAGATGAAAATATTAAATGTGAAAAATCATAACCATACACCTGTCGTTGCGGTATATAACCGTCAATTCAAGAAAATCAATGGATAAGATTTAGTGTTAAATTTCAAAATTTGACACTAATGTCAAATGATACTGTCCATAACCTAAGTTTTGTTTGGATATATGATTACAATATGATGTGTAGAAACTCCATAAAATGAGACCTCAATTAAAAGCACCCCTTCATATTTTTTTAAATACCTATTTTACTCTTCATTTTTTATTCTCTCTCGCTCTCTCTCTCTCTCTCATAAAAAAAGCATATGGGTAAAAAAATAAGGTGCGTGATTATTATAATCAGAGTACGTACTAAGACGACTACATTCACATATGCACGTGTTATTAATGAGATTTTATGAAGTAACATTTTGGAAAAATTGTTAGGAACAATGTGTTTCAATCAATAATCTCACGTATATATAAACATTTTAAATTTAAAAATATGGACATTCCAAGTGATGAACCATCAAATTAAAGGTAATGTGACCGACTGCATAAATTGTATCTATGCTATTTTTATATTTTTTATTTCTTTGCAAAGGTACACTAGTAGAACCACTGGAAGTTGAGAGAACGATGAAGTCGACTTTGAGAAAGATGGAACGCCCTCCAAAATCTGATAAAATGATATTCCCAAAGAACTACACCACGTTATATGACTTCTTTTCTATATTGTTTTATACATTGTATTTCACTCTGTTCAGGGTTGCTGCTCTAGCTGGTACGTGCAATGGATTCTCATACTATTTAAAATTTATTTCTCACTGATAGAATTGCATGACACAAAATTTATTTTCCCATTTTTGATAAGACTAGTTTCTTTGGTCAGTGAATTGGGGAAAGAATGAGCATGACACAGAGAATTACCAATCAAACGATAAAGACTATTACAAGACAGATGGAGATGATGTTGAGGTTGGATTTCTTCCACCAAATTATGCAACCTTTCATCGTTTTATCAAGTCTGCATACGTACATAGTTTTGGCCTTTCAGGAGTGGGTATGTGTTCTATATGTTTAATTCTTGATCAATTGCTTAATTGGTACTTTTCTATTACAATTTACAAGATGGGTTATAACACGATTAATGTAATGCTCCTTGTTTAATCGTATACTTTTTAAGCTTTAACGGAGGTAAAAAAGACGAAGAGTAAACACCAATGGAGTGGTCAACTCCTGAATGCACTATTGAAAAGACCTTATGCAGCATTCACGGGAAGCGGGGGCCGACCAACTGATAGGGAAGTTGAAGAAGACATGTTCTTTGTTTATCTATATCACAAATGGGAACAAGGTACACTTAAAATATATATTGAGAAAAATATTTGTCTTTTTTATAAATGACATAACTTATATCATTTAACTTTTATAAAGAAGTGGGATCCACACCTTTATATTTTTTTGTCCACTTTCACAAATTCTTTATCTATTTCTTTTTGTTACTTAAATCGATATAACTTTATATAATGCATTCCATTGGTCGCTCGGGTTTAGGAATCTGAACAACATTTTTTAATAACTCGTACGTAACACACAGCTTAGATTTATCTTTCACTGCCATTTAAGAGCTAACGTGGTACGTAACTGCTTTTGACAAAAATTATTTTTTATCCTTAATTTTAATCTAAATTCCATTTTCATCTCACAGTTATATTTTCTAGGGGTGTTCGCGGTCTGGATTGGACAGTTTTGGAAGCAAAACTCATCCGATCCAATTCCTTTGATTTGATCGTGTAATCATCCATTCGGTTCAGATTTTTTTCAAATTCGATCCGATCCAATCCAATTTTTTTCAGTTTGCATTGGATCAGTTTTCGGTTTTTTGAATATCCTAAAATTAGTTTCATGATTATTGTGCAAATAACATCTTTTGTATATATTGACTTTGTAAAAAAAAAATTGAAATACAAAAAATATCAGTAAACAATACTATAGTTGATAAGACGTGACTAAGTTTTTTTTTTGGTTTAGTTGATGAGTTAATGGGTCTTGAGTTTAGAAATTTTTGGCTATGATTGGAGAAAGGACAAGTAGGTAAAGGATAATTAATATATTGGATCGGTTTGGATTGGATCGGTTTGGATCAACCCATCCGAAAATCGATCCAATCCAATTAAAATTTGCGATTCGGTTTCCGATTTTTTGATTTTCGGTTATCAGTTTTTCGGTTCGATTTTCGCGGTTTGAATCGGTTTGTATCGGTTGATGAACACCCCTAATATATTCTTTCATTTTGTCTCAATTTTGTTTGAACCTAAAAAGTTTGTCACAGTGAAAAATATTAATGGAATTTGCTGCTATGACACATCGCATGGACACATGCCACGTGGACATAAGTTCGTCCAACCAGATTTTTGTTTTTTTAGAATAAGACAAATTAATTTTGTGATTTTTTTGAAAAGATTTGATAGAAATTCAAACAATATAGTTATATGACAAAAATGAAAAACATTAAAATTAAAGGACAAAAAGTAAAATTTCAACTGTTATGAGTATATAAATTTTTTAATAATAACAAAAAATTACAATTTTTTGCTGTTTTTACAACAAGAGTATCTCATTTTAACTTTCTTTAGTTGTCATGAGGGCACACCACCATATTGATCATGATTTGCATTTAGAAAATATCAGCAAGAGTAATTGTGAAGTCTTTATTAAGCTAATTTCGTGAAAATATTTATGTAATTATTTAATATGATTTTAATAATCAATTTATGTAAAGTAAAAATTTATGTTTCATTATAAAGCACAAATATAAAATTTTTAAATAGTTAAACCTAAAATCATTATAGTAAAAAATTCCTTTTTATGGTACAACTTTAGATTTCATTTTCATCTTATATCTTTCAAAAACTTATCAAATTAGACCAAACGACAAATTAAAAGAAAAAAAAATAAAGCTGGGTGTGCCAAATTGCCAATTTCTTTTGTGCTCGTGTGTATTTCATTCATTTCAATTTTGATAAATGCATTCCCAATTCTATATATTTCTTTCTTTTACGAATTTCTTTCTTTAAGCTTCTTATTTGACTTGTGCTCAATTTAGTTTTAAGAAGAGGAACCTTATCTTATTTGAGTTGATACTGGCAGGTGAAACCAGCAGATTGGAGGGGTCGAAAGAAGTAAAAGAACCAGTATCCGCTGGCAAAACGGAAACTCCAAATCGAAGAGACGCAAAGGAGGAAACAGAAAAAGATGGTGCAAAGGAAACTGAGAAAAAGGATTTAAAGGAGACAGCATTTTTGGTTGCAGCAAGATATGGCATAGTTGAAATGGTGAATGAAATTCTATACCGAATACCAAGTGCAATTCATAACACTAACTCAAAGAAAGAAAATGTATTGCTGGTCGCAGTGGCGAACAGACAACCCCGTATTGTTGAGGCTTTGAGAATGCAAATGTTTACAAAACCAGAAATTTGGAATAACTTAATTCTGGCAGTGGACGAAACTGAGAACACCATGTTGCATTTGGCAGCACATGCACTAGGCGGCAATAAGCCTGGGCAGATAGCTGGTTCTGCCTTTCAAATGATGTGGGATATAAAGTGGTTTCAGGTACATACAAAACATATATATAATTTTTCCTAATTTAGTTTTACAATTGTTAAAGGTAACAATGTATATATTATGGGTTCTTCATTTCTGCTCTCACTGCTGATGAAAAAACTTGTAGCAAATATATTTACATAAGATACTGAGTCGAATCTTAAAATTAAAAAAAAAAAAAATTTCAGGATCCGGAACCAGATCCTGTTGAAAGTAAGTGTTGCTGCAAATTTTCTGATCTGCAGCAGCATAAAAGCTATTAAAGCCATATATTATATACATATATACCACCAAACACGTGGATCAACCCAGTTGTTCCAGCTTAACAGGTCTTGAGTTTAAGTCATGTGAGTGCAATTATGTTAAAATTTGATAGGAAGAGTTTTGCGGCTATATGGGCCTACTCCTCCAACCAGATTAGTCAAGTAATAATATAAAAAAAATATTATATACATATGCTGATTATTTTATTTAACCTTGGAGCAGTATATAAAAATCCTTGTGCCGGAACACTTCTATTTTAGAAGCAATAAAGATGGGAAAACAGCGGGGGAAATCTTCGCAGAAACACATGAAGATCTTATAAACAAGAGTAGTGAATGGCTTAAGGGAACATCGGAATCTTTTTCTGTTGTGGCTGCGCTTGTTGCTGGTGTTACCTTTGCCGCAGCCAGCGCCGTACCTGGTGGCACCAATGATCAAACCGGTATGCCTATATTAGACAGTGAGCCTGCATTCGATGTATTCGCTATTTCTTCGTTAATTGGACTTTGCTTCTCCGTCACTGGACTTATAATGTTCCTTTCTATAAGTGCTTCTCTTAAACAAGCCGAAGATTTTCGCAGGGATTTGCCACTGAAACTTCTTATCGGTTTGAGTTCTCTTTTCTTATCCATTGCTTCAATGTTAGTTTCTTTCTGCAGCGACCATTTTTTTCTCGTTAGTCACAAATACAAGACCATAATACTCCCTATTTATGTAGCCACTTGCTTGCCTGTGTGCTTCTATGCCATAGCACAGTTTCCACTATACATTAATCTTCTAACAGCTATTTTAAGTAAGGTTCCGGTGGCCATTATTAGATTCATTTATTAATCATATTATGAGATTTGACAAAGCTTTTGATTTGTTGTATTTTTCTTCTGCTGTTGAGTTTTGTTTTTAGCAGAGAGGTTTCTGCATATTTTCGATGTAAAATTTTTATTTCCACTTAGTTGGAAAGTGTAATAATCACATTATGAGCTTTAGCAAATCTTTTGGTTTGTTGCTTTGATTTTTTGTTGGTGTTGGTTATTGTTGGAAAGAATATCTTTATTATTTGTAAATATCTATTTACTTATTTCATTAGGATTTGGACGAGATCTGGGTTAAGTCTATTAGTGTTTCTATATATTGTACACTTATGTATCAATTTGATATACAAATTTATTCAATAAAAATTTCGTCTCTTGTTATTTTACATGATATCAGAGCATAGTTTATCCAAGTTGGGACTGAGATGATGAACAAAACATGTAGAACTAAAGACATGTGGGGTCAAAGAATATAAAGGTTGATAAGGAAACAAAACATAGTGAGGTACCCATGATGAAGAACAAATGAGGGCATGTGATTAATGAACTAGCATGCAGTGAGAACAACATCACCTCAAAACTTGTAGCGACATTGCCATCAATTAAAAATGCGTGAGTAGTCTCAACAAGGTGACTATTCTTGCACTCGGCTACACCATTTTGTTGAGGTGAATGAGGACAAGATGTTTGATGAAGGATGCCATGAGAAGAAAAGAATTGTTGAAATTAATGAAATAAATACTCACAGAAATTACCACTATGAAAAGTACGAATAGGAATACAAAACTGAGTTTTGATTTGAGTTTTGATTTCATTATAAAATAACTAAAAAATATTAAATAACTCAGAACGATTTTTCATTAAAAAAAATCAAGTAAATCTAGAATAATCAGCAATAAATGTAACAAAATACTTAAACCCCAAAGAAAGGATGATAACTCGACCCCAAATACCATAATGAACCAAAGAAAAAGGAGACAAAGTTCGACGACTGGGAACGTACTACGAGTATGTTTCCTATACTGACACAACTCACAATGTAAACTAGAAAGAGATGATAAATGAGGAGTTATTTTCTGAAGCTTGATAAGACTTGGATGACCCCAAACGAGCATAGATACTAAGAGGAGAGTCCATAGTAAAGCAAGCTTGAGGGGGAATGTTGAAAAGCATATCCTTATTATTGTTGGAAAGAATATCTTTATTATTTGTAAATATCTATTTCCTTAATATATTTCATTAGGATTTGAACTAAGACTGAGTTAAGCTCATTAGTGTTTCTATATATTGTACACTCCTGTATTAATTTAATATATTAATTTATTCAATGTTGCTTTCCTCTCATGTTATTCTACGTTTGTGTTTAAGCAGAGATGTTTGTGCATATTCTCATTGTAAATAAAAAATCAGTATAGTATTATTGCATATATGTAATAATCATATAACGAGATATGGTCAGAAATACATGATAGAGTCCAACTACGACAACCGAATCAATTGTTTATTTGTATTAGGATACTGCATTATCCAGCATGCGCATTAAACTAGTATGAGTTCACTGCCTTGATTGCTTGAAATCTTGGCTCCTTTGCTTGGAACTTCAGCGTAGCATAGAGCTTCATGTAATCCTCAAACACAAATTTTGGGTATACTCGGTCTATCTCCTCTGCCTTTCCCTCCAACAATGCTGGTGCAGGGTAGATAACAGCATCACTACCAGGGTTGTAGAATGAGGCTACGGACATTCTTGTCCCATCAGTTTGAGCAATCACACGATGCTCCACACTCTTGTATTTCCCATTGGTAATTACCTGTATAACCAAAAATGTTGGATAAGAATAATAACCACAATAGATGAGTTCTGCATTATAGACATATATATTAGTCAAATAAAAGAAATTACCTCAAGCTGGTCACCAAGGTTAACAACAATGGAATGGCGCATTGGGGGCACATCCACCCAGTGGCCATCTTTGAGAAGCTGCAGGCCACAGACCTTGTCATCTTGCAAGAGAAGGATAATCCCACCCGCATCCGTATGGGCACGAAGACCCTTCACCAGCTCTGGTTTCGGGCACGCAGGGTAGTTTGCAACCTTTGTGCCAAAACTTGGACCCTGCGATCCACAAAAGGCTTTCTTGAGGTATCCTTTCTCTAATCCAAGATTTTCACATAACATGTCTAGCAGCTCCTCTGCAAGTTTCTCTAATCTCTCTGCAAATTCCTTCATTGCCCACCTGCATCATTACCACATCTAGTTCAAACTATGTCTTGTTTAGACATTGACATGCATCAAATCATCAACTTCACACATATATATATATTGGTCAGGTTACAATCTTTTTAGGTTACAATCTTCCCGCCATAAATAGTTGAGGTTATAAGAATTGTAAACAAAAAAAGTTGTAAACGTAATCTATATATATATATATATACGGGGAATGATCTGTTTACAAACTTTTTTACCAAATTTTTGTAAATTACACTATGTACTCCCGAGAGAACATAGTGTAATTTATAAGAGTTTGTAAATATAACCCTCCCCTGTGTATATATATATATATATATATTCCATCAACATATGTGATGTATGTTCTTTGTTTTCAATCTTTCTGACCTGTACTCTTCACTGAGATCAGGGATTTCAGAGATATTGGACTCTGGGAGATGGCGCAAGAAGAAGGTGCTCTCCCAGTCCATGTCCTTAACTTCTGCTTGGACACCCTCTAAGCCTTTGCATGCCACTACCTCTTTGAACCTCTGCTCCATGCATTTTTTATAATGCTCTTTTGTTAACCTTTCCACTGTATCCAAAAGTTCATGGGGTATTCCATGATTCACCAACTACAATTAGGAAAGTAACAAGATTAATATAGTTAAAATGAACAATATGGAGAAAATTTTGAGTTGCAAATCAGCAGATATAATATAAAATATTCGAATATAACAAAGCTTTTGTTATCAGATTCGTTGAGGTACCTCAAAAAATCCCCAGTTCTCGCAAGCATCTTTAATTTTCTCGAGGATAGCCTTCCTCTCCTCGCCATTGAGATTCTCCAAGTTGATAACGGGGAAGTTCTCCATTTCTCACTCCTTTTTCTTTCTCTTGTACCTACCTCCGAGTAATCTTAATTTGTTTGTGTGTGCAGATTTGGAATATAGGTGAGTGGTATTTATAGGAATTCAAAGAGTACAGGGAGGACACCTGGACACCTAAAATTCTGGTGTGTGCCTCATGAATCTTGATATGCATGCTTACTTTGGCCAACCTATGCCAAGATCAATTTACGTAGTTGAATTGTCTACTTTGGTATGGGTTTGTCTCATCTGGAGGCTAACAACATTCCAAGCATTTCCCCTTGAATTGTCTGTTGGAGTTTCTGCAAGTGATTTCTTCGAAGGTGGCACAAGCTCAGTTTTTAAATTGAACATCATCTATATAATGATTATTGATGAAACGACTTATAAAAGTGTGTGAACTCCTTATTCATACAACTAACAAACACTTATTGTTGAGTTTGATTTATCATGGTGTTATTGTATTTGGTACCCATAAAATTTACCTACTACATCTCTAAAATTTACTAGAACTATAGGCTACGTGCATAAGAAAACTTTCACATTGTTTGGGCAGAGGTTATAAGATGTAATTGAATTTTAACAGCCTTTTAGTAATTGCATGCCATTAATTGAATATTATTACATGACAATTTATTTTCTTAAAAAACAATTATTGACCCAAATTTAGATCAGAGGTCAAGAAATATTACTATATTAGTATCAGAACTAGTTTTGTATTTCTTTTCTTCCACTTGACGAATAGGAGCCACACAACAAACAAAAACTACTGCAAGTAACTGATGGGACATATTTTCTGTTCTACATTTCCAAGTCAGTTGTTAGACCGATGATAAGAAGAAGCTCCATCCTCAGTTACATTTTATTCTTCCGTTGATTTTTGAGTCAATTATTGCATATTTTAGTCAGAACATCCTGCTCATTGGGGTCTTTTCATCGTGACATGTTGAATTAAGTCTCTTTGAAAGACCCTTCCAACATCATGAATTCAATATTCTCTTTTAATTATGGAGAACCGTATCTGGACGTTTTTGTGTGAAAAAAATATGATATGATTATTTAGAAAATTATAATTATATAAGAATAGATCAATAGTAAAAAAAAAAAAGGAGAGAAAATATATGTTAAAATATATAGTTATGAAGTTAATTTTATATACAAAAAAAATATATATAGTTATAAAATTATAATCATTATTTATATTTATATAAATGTGATCTTCTCCCTTGATCAGGCCATTTCTTTTTAACCCCAGAAAATTCATTTCCATGAAAAACCTGAGGCTGCCATGGGTGTGCGTGCGTACATTACTTGTTCACGTGAGGAAATAAACCAAAGTGACACTGAAATGACTTAATACAATCGAGAAAGGCAAAGAAGAACAAGATCGAAACAGAGTAACGAAAACATTTGCTTCCGTGTGATCGCATTGCTGTTCCAACCACTTTCATTGAAGAAGAATAGATGTTTGCACTTTGAGAATTGCAGCTATAATCGCTTTAATGGAAGGGATAATTGTTTAATATTATATACTTTCATAGAGAAATAGGCAAGGGAATATTATTTCTCGCGTATCGAAGAATTTATTTCATGAAACACATAAAAAGTGAATAAGGTTCATTGATTTTTATTTTTTCTCTTTTCTTTTTAGTAGATCTCATTCATTTTTTTTATAACGATGAGACAATTTTATCCTTTATTATAATATAAGTTAAATAATATTATTGTGTGATGATATTTGATTGAGAGATATTTATTATTAAATAACTATGATAATTTAAAATTTTGAAAACTTTTGATGAAAATATTATTAAATGAAAGTTTTGTATTGAGAGATTTTTAGAAAGATTTTTAAAGGATTCTATTTTTTTAAAATTATTCCTTAAAAGTTAAAAGTGATTTATTATCTTTATTTCTTAAGAATTAATTGTGCGATTGTAAAGGGATTAAAAAAAAAATTCCAATCAGATACACTCATTGTAAATAAAAGACAGAATAATAGTTCACAAAAATAAACAGAATAATATTCATGATCTTGACTATGTCGAGTTTTTCACTCATTTTAAGTTAAAAAAAAATACTGATAGTTCAGTTAGTATATAAGAACTGAGTAGATAGAAATGAGAATATGTATTCAATTCTTTTTAATATATTTTTAAAAGAATTTAAAGTCTTCAAATTCGCTCCAAACTTTGAATTAGTCCATAAAAAAATTATGAAATTTTTAAAATTATCAGGGATAAAATTGAAATTGATGTGTGATAAGTTTCAATTAATGATGTCCAGCCGTCCAATTTAGAACAATGTATTGTCTGAATTCATTTCGGACTGCGGACCCATGGCTTAAATAATGTCAATTTTATCGTGGTGGCTCAGTTGGTACTTGGTAGCATGGGGACTAAGTGATGGGAGATGACCTCGGTTTGAATCCCATCAATACCATCTGGGGAGGGGCATAAGTACCGTAATCCTTGGACTCGCATCCGAACTCTGGATTACTCTCATAGACGACTCAAAGAGTCGAACCCGTGGGGATACCGGGAGTTCTGATTCGCCTCAAAGAGGTAATTAGGATCAGTTTCTAAAAAAAAAATGTCAACTTTTTTTCTTACAGTTTATTTGAGCATAGTAAATTTCATATATATAAATGAAGGGATTAATGCTTTTCATATTGTAGAAAGTAATTTTATTTCTTACATATACATAAAAATGTGTGGGCTCATGTGGGGCCATATAAAGAAAAAAAGAAAGAAAAAAATAACATTGGTTTCATACACTTTTATGTGTGTGTAGAAGATAGAATTATCTTCTAAAACATAAACACTAATCCCACAAATTAGTTGTTACTTAAGAATTGTTAGTTATACAAATAAGTTTTTTTTTGTGAGGATACAAATAAGTTTTTAACACACTTTTTGCAAATCCTTGTCAATAATCATTAAATAATAATTGAACATACTTAAATCTTTTAAGGGGAATTTTTTAATATGCTCCAAGACCGCCATGATCCTTCCAATAAAAAATTGACACATGGATAAAAAAAAATTTCTCTCTCTTCTCTCACCTCTTCTCAACTTTTTCTCTTTTTCTCTCACCTCCGCCTCACCAAGTCTTTTTTGCTCCCGAACCACAACAATATTGTTCCTTTTAAGGGTTCATTTTTTTTAAAGTTGCTTTTGTCTAGTATTCACCAAAACGACATTATTTTGGAACAAAAATTATGGTGTATTTGCAATTTTAATTTATTTCATAGTTATAATAGTTTTTATCATTTTAATTTTTTTAAAATTTTAACTCCAAAACGACATCGTTTTGGTGGAAAAGTTATTCAAAGTAATATTAGATATTTTTTTTCCATCTTTTAAACATTCATTTTATTTTGTTTTTCGTTTTTTCTTAGCAAATGTATAGGGCTTAAAGACCAAAGGACAAGAAAGACGAAATTACAAAATGAACCAAAGGAAAAAAGAAGAGAAACCAGAAAGGAAAGGGCAGAAATTTTAGGATATGTTTGATTGTTCTGATTTTTTTTTTCTTCTTAAAACTATTTTATAAAATAACTAAAGAAATATGTATTTTCTATATTTTTATGTTTTGAAAGTTAAATATCAAAATATAATTAAAAATAACTCAGATATATTCTCTAAATTTATTCTAAAAATAAAAAATAATTACAATTTTTAAAAAATTTGTTTACGAAGCAGGCCTTATTAAACAGAATTTTTTTTATTTACCGAAAAAAATATATATTTTTTTGAAATTAAAAAACTATTTTTTGAAATAAATTTCAAACAGACCTTAAAGTCTGAGTTATTTCTATCTCTTCTTTCATGAAATGGATGTATGACTAACAACTATACAAATATATATGTAAGTATAATACTATTGTTAATTGAAATACTCGTATGCAGGAAATCATACCAAAAATGAAAATTTCTGTCGAAAAAATTGACTTTTTTAAGTAGTGGGTGGGAAAATTTTAACATGTCAATATCTGCCTTAAAAAAAAAAAAAAAAATTATTAACTTAGGTGATTATGGTGACTTTTAGATACATCTTATGTTTTGTCATTCATAGATAAATATTTATTTCGCCTTAGTGGTTGGCCGAAGAATTGGATTTATGTGATCGATCCAGAACAAAGCCCTCGTTTGACAACATACAGAGTCAGAATATCAAGATGTATAAAAGCTTCATCCGTACGATTATTATGTTATATGTGTATATGTTGTGTATATTTTCATAAGCATTCACGTTTGGAGAGAGAAATTCTTTCATTTACATACAAAGTATAACATGGGTTCCACTTTTTACTTTGCTTTTTAAAAAATTCTACGAAAACAATAAAAAGAACGTTGTATTTCATTTATGGGAAAAATGTTTATCTTTTTAAATGACACGACTTATATCATTTCACTCTCACAAAGAAGTGGGACCCACACCTTTATTTTTTTATCAACTCTCTCTCCTCCTTTATATATCTTTTTCTCTCTCTTAAAATGACACAACTTTACATCCTTTAAAATGACACACATTTTTCCCTTCATTTATTATATATTTTAAAACAAAAATAGTGAAAATAAGATAATATTTTTTATAAAATTAAAAATAAGATTAAAAAACTTTTTTGTATATCATGCACACTTATATCCTGCTTCTTTTTTCATGAAAAGATAATATAGCCTTAACTTGGATAGTGTTTTTGGTACATAGATACATAGAAGGAAAAAATAATACATTTATATTATTCCTATCTTTATAGTTATTTTCTTCTATATTCTCTTTTTTTCCATTTTCAAAGGGAGCACCTACTCCTTAAGTATTGAAAAAGTGCTCCTTAACTTGACATCTAACACATTACTTAATAATATAATTTATTTTTCTCATATTATAAGATATAAATTTATCTCCTACACATACATAAAAATATATGAGACCATGTTTTCTCTTTTCTTTATTTTTCTCACATGGGCCCCACACACTTTTATGTGTTTGTAGAGATAAATTTATCTTCTACAACATGAAAAACACTAAACTTTTAATAATATAAAAAAAGTTTATCATATAAAAATATGGGATTAGTGTTTCTCATGTTTATGAGATAATTTTATCTCTTATAGACACATAAATGTATGTCGGGCCAGTCCTCTTTTTTATCTTCATATGAACGAGCCTACATATTTTCATGTGTGTGTAAAAAATAAAATTATCTACTCCGAAACATTAATCGCTTAAAAGATACTATTTCATGTTATTTCAAGTGAAGTGATTATATTTTGATATATATTTGTTAGAGTAAATACCTTTTTGGGTCCCTAACAAATTTCACGGTGCCCACTTTAGTCCCTAGCAATAAAAAAGGTCATTCGTGGTCCTGTAATATTCAAACTAGGCCCATGTTAGTCCTTCTGTTAGTTGAGCTCTAATGTCGTTACTAACATTGCTCACGTGGAACGTTAAGTCGCTTAGTCACAATCCACCATGGACAAAATATAACGTCATTTTGGCTAGTCACAAGGTCTCCCCAGCTTATTCTCTTCTTCTTCCTCCCCAAAAACGTCATCGTTTTGTGGCTCCATAAATTCTTCTATGTTAATCCCTTATGCAACCAACGCCACCACAAAGAGCCTAGCTTTCCTTAGAGTAGAGAAAGAAGAATAGGGTTCCAGAGTTCTGGAAACCAAACATGAAAACCTTGGATGCCCAAAATATGAACTGAATCGTTTGGGTATAGGTGCAAATTGGGGTTTGTGTTTGGAGATTGTCATTCCTGACACTATTTCCACAATGATAAATATAAGAAATGAAAAAATAAATTTCCAACCTAAAGAAAAAATTCTGTTTATATTAAACAATGTAACACATTCTATGAGTAACATTTGACTTGATTGCCACAGATTAAAATTCTTCAAATTGGAAATAAAAGGCACACCAGTCGACCTCTGGCTACTAGCCCACAAATTGTTGCTTAGTCCTGGCCAGTTCCTGTCAACCACCTGTGAATGATAATGTCCTTGGGACAAATTTTCTTGAGTGGAGTTTTGTTTTCTTTGCATCTTTGCATTCTTTGTGAAAGTTAGAAGCACTTGCACAACAGCTAGTGGCAATAGGGTTCTCTTATGAGAGAGCAACATTGGCTTTAATGTTAAATGATGGAAAACTGGAGGAATCAGTATCTTGACTGTTTGAAGGAAGTGAAGAAGAACCATATACCAAGGATACTACTAAAATTGTAAGTGAGGGTAACTTGAAAATTGACCTAAGTGAAGAGCTTGCTCAGATATCTGCTATGGAGGTGAAGTACAATTGTTCAAAGCAAGAGGTTGAGAAAGTAGTTGTTGCATGTGAAGGTGATCTTCAAAAGGAAGAAAATACCTTTAAATCTTGGAAGCAGGAATCTTTTGTGACCCAGTTAAGGTCTGAAGATTCTGCTCAAAATAATAGTTTGATGAGATCTCAAGGATTTCCAGTAGCTTCAGTTTCAATGCAGGAGAGTTAATGAAAATGACTTCAACAATTCCAAGGTAGGTGGTGCTGATTCTATGTTCCCAGAACCTAGAACCAAGAATCTACAGTCTCTTAACTCAAATGAACTGACAGAGAAAAGATGGGGTGTTACAGAATCAAACCCTTCTACTATGTTAACTATGGCACAGTCCATGCAATCATTGTCTCCATTTCTTAAAGTAGGGGCCCAACCTAGTGCCCTTAGGAATGAAAGAAGAATGATTCAACAAGTAGTAGGAAGGGAGCTAGTAATCATGATGCAGCATACACAATTCACAAATACCAAACAAAATTCTCTGATTTCTATGAATTCCTTACCTTCAGGGACAACAGGTTGGTATGAAAATAGTATTCCTCTATTGAAAACATAAGGTCAAATGAGAAGTTACTACAGACTCACACCATAGGAAGTGTAAGTACAAATTGCTTGGAGCAATTTTGTCAAGCTCCTTAGAAAGAACATTCCTATGTCTTTGAACCTATAGACTCCTCATCAACTGGGGTGGAAGGTTTCTATAAGCCAATGGGACATCTTCACCATCTCATACAATTCCTTCTCAACATCATGGTTCATGGAGTATGATTGCATCTTCTTCACCTGCACTCACAGTTCCACCATCTCTTGAACTATTTTCTGGACATCAAAATGCAGCAAGAACATTCAGCGCGAATTCACATGTGGATTGGAATACTAGAGGCTTAATGCCAAAATTTGACTACACTGGTATAGATTGGAGTTTGGATTGACCTTCATCTTCCAAATCAGGTGGATTGTGGGTAGGAGTAGGACTCTCATCATTGTTAAAAAACAGTTCTGGCAATAATAGGATGGCCAATTCATGCATGACTGGATTGCAAAATGTTGGCATGGCTAAGGAAACTTCAACAACTTCTGACTTACGAGAGTGGACCACTCTTTTTGCTGGAAAAGACATATTCAGTGTTTCCAGGCAATTTGTTACCTCTCCCCCTATGTAGTTTTTGTTTGTCTTGGAAACTAAAAGGGATGTGGCTTATTCCTTGAGTGTAGTTTTGCTTTCTTTGCATCTTGGGCTTCCTGTAGTTGTGGTAAATATGAAAATTTGGAGTAGAATCTTTGAAAGAAAACATGCGTGAAGTATTTTCATCAAATAGATGGCATGCATACCCAGTCTAACAACATCGAAGCAACTCAAAGTTGAAGTGAAAGAGTTACCTTTCTACCAGCAATTTTGCTGGAACGCCTGCCCATACAAATAGGAATGGAAGTCCATATCTTTCTGACTCGAGAGTTATCAATATAGGTTGCATTTGCATCCAACCATATATACATGCTAATTTATTTCTTATATCGATTCTTTTAATTTGTTGCTTGTTGTTATATTTATACCCACAAGTCGACACTGAATTTCAACTTGAGGGAAGGGAATATGGTGCTGGAAAATGAGAGGTTGAGGATTGGTTTCTGGGTGAGGATGTTTCTGGGGATTTGCGTGGAGTGGATGTGTTTGGATTGAAGTGAAGTTGTGGTGTGCTGCAACGACGCCATTTTTTTTTTTTGCTTAGGTAGGAGCAGTGAGAGAGAAAAAGGATGTGACTCAGAAGATGTGAATGTTATCAACGATGTCGTTACTCATCCTACGTGGGTTGTGACTCAAATTAGTAATGTTACAAGTAAACAACATTATTGACGTCGTTGAAGCTTCACTGACGGAAGGACTCATGTGGGCCTAGTTTGAATATTACAAGGATCACGAATGACCTTTTTTATTGCTAAGGACTAAAGTGGGCACCGTAAAATTTGCTAGGGACTCTAAAGGATATTTACTCTATTTATTAATTTTTTTATCTTGTTTCTTTTTCACAATACTTTTTTATTTATTTTCTAATTTTATGGAAGAGAAAAATGTAAAAAGCTACCAAACATAAAATTTTATGTCCTTTGAAATAATAAATCATTTCTCATAATAATAATAATATAATTATGTAATGAAATTGATGCGTTTTGGTGCAGTCACGCACGGTCTTTGGTTTTGGGTTCATTTTTTTTATTCTACCGGCCAGCTTCGGTGAAGTCCCAGTCTACGATCTCACCGTTCACGAAGGTGGCGTTTCGTTACAAACCTCCTCCTCTCCTCCTCAGGTTCTCTCTCTCTCTCTCTCTCCTGTGTTTCAATTATTCTTTGTTGTTGTTCTTCTTCATCTTATATATTTTGTATTACAGTGATTAATTATATTTTAGTGGAAAAATTAGCCTTGTCTCTGTTAAATACTACGTTTCGAATGGCAAGGAATGCTTGGGATCTTTGAAGAAACGAACTTGTATATTCTTAATTTAATTTTTATTTTAAAATTTCGTGTTTTAAGGGTTCAAATTGTTAAATGCCCCGTGCGTGGATTCCAGGAAAGGAGTTGGCTAGGGATCTCATGCCTCTGATGCATTTTTTTCGCTTTTTTCAATCCCAAACACTCAACTTAAGATGGCGTTTCTAAGCTTATTACTCATGTGCCTATTCATTTTTTTATTATTATAATTTTTTTATTTTTTTATTTTTTTGAGTTTTAGCTTGGATCACAGAGTTTCTTGATAAATCTAACAAAAAGAATTAAACAATAATTAACAAGTAATAACTAATATGTCTCATCAATGCTCAAACCTATGAGAGTACAAAGAAAAAAGTAAAAAACACCTTTATGGACTTGGAGGAGCATAAGTTAGTTCAGTAATTGTGTTAAAGGGGGTGACTTTTTTAAATATGTCTTTGAACATGCCATGCTCACGTTAAGGCACCGGCAGGGTAGTGAGGGGCATCGGTAATGCATTCGTATTAGGTGGTTCAAAGCTTATACATAAGAAATGCTAGCAACACATTCTTTGACACTTTCTTTTCAATGATCTTTCTATTTTTGAGTTAAATCCCATATTGGCCCCACTAAATAACCTAGGCTCACTCTCTATTAGTAGGACCAACACGAGATTTCACCCAATAATTGAGAAAGGCTTAAAAAAGATTGTCAAAGAAAGTGTTGCTAGCATTTCTCCTCCTCTTGGTGACAAAATAAACTAGAAGTAAGGGCCAAAATGAGACAGCTGCATAAACAAAGATTGGCTTGTAAATGTGAAATACGGGATTTCATATTCGTAGGCGAATAGAAAATTGCTCAAATAGACTGTTGTGCGAGATTTTAGTAAACATTTTTCATTTCATCTCTGAGGTTCAGCTTCTTGCTATAAAAATAAAATTAATAGACTTGTCAGAAATCACCAATTGGGTTGCGGTATCCAACCAAGAAAGGCATGCCAAATGTCAGATTCCTTTTTTTCATTTCAAGCAAGACAACGGTTGTGAGCAGAAATGCTAAGATTTTTAGAAGGGTGTATATATATGGAGGAGGGGTCAATTAATACTATTCTTAATTAAAGTTAATCGTACACCATAGAATAAGTTTTTATTAGATAACTTCTCACAAAGTTTATCATCGGATTAAAATTTTCATTCTCTTCTCTAAGCATTTTATATGTTGACCACTAACTGCTATCTGATTACAGCACATGGTACTGTGTATCTTGTTCATGTATTTGTATTCACCTTGTGTCGGATAAATTCTTTTAGCATTTAGTTACTGTTACTTTGTTTTATGGGAATACTTTGTTTCTGCAGGTTCCCTAAATCAACTTTCAGTTTTTGATTGTTGAGGATGGTGCTAGTCTTGGCCCTGGGGGATTTGCACATACCCCACCGGGCACCTGATCTTCCTGCAAAGTTCAAATCCATGCTTGTCCCTGGTAAAATCCAGCACATCATTTGTACTGGAAATTTATGTATTAAGGTATGTCCATCTTATTAAAATAAGTATTGCCGATGCAGTCTTACTGTTGCCATGCTATGTTGGAATACAATCAGTTGCCTTTACTTTATTTTTCAACTTCTATATGAGAGGACAAAGGACAGGGGTGTGAAAGTCTGAATTTTTTATCTTGGCTTCTTTTTTTCTGTAAAACGAAATATTTTCCTCTTAAAATCTTTGTAGTTGTAGGATTTCAGTTAATTAGGAAAGGTTAATTCTCTTTACAATGTAAGGGTATACTAGAACATTTAGGTGTAGGAGACATCAAATTGTGTTTTGTCATAGTGTGTGTGTTTTGTCCCATGTGTTTGCCATTGTCCATGCTTCTTAATTTCTTATGTAGAAAATTGATGACTATTGAACTACTAAAATTGGATAATCCTGGGCACCTGAATGGAGGGTTTTGTAATGGTTCCTGTGGCCAGTGTCAAATCCATGTTGGGGCCTGGTGGGATGCTCCTTGTCTTTTGTGTAACATGCATCATTCCACATTTCCAAAAATCTGTTTTAAAGAGTGTTCATTGGCTTCCCTGCCTTTCCTTTCTTGTTGATATTATGAAACATTATATATGTTTTCCTTTTTTTCTAACCAAAAAGTGTTATTTTCTTATCTGGTTGGCCACCTCCCTTGAGACCAGTGATAGTGTTATTGATGACAACAAAGGGGCTAAATTATTATTACCTATTGTTTTAAGTTCTGCCTTCGTTAGCATGGGTACTGTTCACATTACTCTAGCCCAACTTCTGTTCAAGCGCTATACCACCCCCCCACCCCCCGGGCCCGCGCAGGCGTATTGCATCAGTTATCTTCTGCAACTACTAAAATTAATTCAGCACATTCATTATAGTTCAATTTTTATATATGATTCGTATTTTATTCGCATTAACTTGTATGGTATGGAGTTAGATGAGTTTGTAATGATTGAATTTCTATACTAATTTTTAAGTCATTTATGTTCAGGAAGTTCATGACTACTTAAAGACTCTTTGTCCTGACTTGCATATAACTCGTGGTGAGTATGATGAAGAGACAAGATATCCAGAGACTAAAACACTAACCATTGGCCAATTTAAGCTGGGACTATGCCATGGTCATCAGGTCTGATTTTATTTTGACTGACATTGTTTTCCCCGTTTCATTTTTAGATTTTTAGATATTAACAGTGTAGGATTTTCTTGGCAGTTACAGGGTGCTGCATTTTGGGTTTTGGGATCAAAGGGTATATAATTTTAGGCAACAGTAAAAAAATTGTGGTTTGGGGTAGAAATGACAAAGTTATTACCATAGATTACCTTCCAACAGCTTCAAACTGAGCTGAATGATTTTAGTCATTCTGTCACTTTAGGTTGCACTTGTATGGGTGCTATTATTGTCTCTTTACCATCTTCCCGATGATGTTTCCACATTTTATTAACGGGTGCAGTTTTCCTTTTTTTTATTTTATTGTTCCGGCTGCAACTTTTTTTCTATTCAATCTTCTTTCACCAATGATTGGATATTTTACGAAACTGTTGTTGGTTCTGTTTTGTAGAAACTGAAAACTCTGCTTTGTTATGTGTTGCTATATGATGATGACATGTTCTTAATGTTTGTGAAGGTTATTCCATGGGGAGACCTAGACTCACTTGCAATGCTACAGAGGCAGCTTGATGTAGACATCCTTGTCACAGGTCATACCCATCAGTTTACAGCTTACAAACACGAGGGTGGTGTGGTTATAAATCCAGGTTCTGCAACAGGGGCCTACAGCAGCATCACTTATGACGTCAACCCAAGTTTTGTCCTTATGGACATTGATGGTCTGCGTGTTGTGGTCTATGTATATGAACTTATTGATGGAGAGGTTAAGGTAGACAAGATTGATTTTAAGAAAACATCCACAAGCCACTGAGCTCATTAAGCACTTGTATTTTTTCTTACTCTCTTGTATCTTTCGTTTTCTTATTTGGTCGTATAGGTTTTTTCCTCCTTCGAACTTTCCAAGGCTGTACTGTTTAGTTTTATTTTGCTTGGAACACCTGTATTTTGGCCATATCATAGGATTCTTAGGATTTGATCTATTGCTGATTTCTGTGAAACTTGTGACTGTTTAGCAATGGCTTTTGTGTATTCCATTTTACCAGTGATTGGCCCAGGGATGATATGAAGCAAAATTTTTGTTAATCAGAAACAACATTGACATTGTAACGTGGTAATTTATATTTTCATAAACAGACAATTATAAGTAACATTCATGATGTGTACCATGATTATTAGGATGAGTTTACAATGTCACGAGTTGCATACATGTTGCAACTTATTGGCACAATTCATGTACCACTGAAATATTAATTTTTTATAATTATCATAAATTATCATTTAGATTGTGTAAATTGCATTAATAATTTTGGTTAATATTATAGTGGTATTATAATTATGTATCAGGATTGTAATTATCATGAATTATCATCATGGTATACCCGTAACTTGTATTATATAATGATTTTAATTAGCTTGCTACCTTCTATTTGAGATTACAAATATTGATACTTTGGTTTTCTTTTTGTAAAATAATCTTTAAAAGAAGCTAGTCACTCGAAGCAAGCTAAGGGTATAAATTTTTATTCGAGAGGAATGTAGAGCTATTGTGTAGGAATCTATACTCTTTTTCTGCAGTGTTTGGTTTTTACGAAAAGTACGCTGCTGCTGTCAACTCACGAAGAATTAAGAAGTATTATACACTTAATTTGTTGCCATAAGACTTTATGCTCGCATGAAATTGCGTGGGCAATAGCTATATATTGAAAAAAAAAAATATTGTAAATTGTGATTAGGGCTTTCAAGACCCTTTGTAGAGTTGGTAAAATGGGTTCGGTTTGGTGGATCAATCTGTCTCATCCGTTAAACGAGACGAGCTGAGTTTTTCAATCTATTTCAAAAGCGGGGTGGGATGAGCTCGTTTTTTGACGAGTCGATGACGGGTCGAGGCGAGTCAGTGTAAAATAGGCTCAGGCTAATGGGTCAACTCGTCTAATCCGTTAAACGAGACGGGTCGGGCCAAGTTTTTCAGCTCACTTTCAAAAACAAGGCGGGCGGACTGGCTTATTTTTTGGCAGATTGATAGCGGGACGGATCACTCACTTTGCCATCTCTACCCTCTTGTAGGAAAAATGAAAAAGAAATTTTATTCTCAGAAGTCCAATGAATGCTCCTTTCTACTCGAGAGATGTCTCTGCATAAACCCACGTAATCCAATTCCATTCGAGCAAATAAGAAAAAGGAAAAGATAATTTTGCTATTGTCATAAAAAACTTTTTTTTTATATCATACTTATATAAAAATAAATGAATTTAATTATAACGAGAAGAGAGAGAGAAAATTAATGAGATATAATAGGAGCTATTCATTTTTGTATGAGTATAGCATAAAAAAAATTTCTACACAAAAATATTAAACCCATAGGAAAAAATACAAAACAAAAGGATGGTTCAGGTTCCGGTATCATAGCAAGGGTTTAATATTTTTGTTTTTATTGTACAAAAGATTTTTGTGTTACACTCACATAAAAATAAGGGAAACTTATTATATCTCACTAACTTTTTCTCTCTCTTGTCACTAGAATGGGACCAACTCACTTATATATGAGTGCGACAAAAAAAAAATCTATAGCAAAAATAAAAATATTTTTTCCTTACTTGTTGCAGAATTTTTTTTTTCGTGACATACTAATATCAACTTTTTCTCTCTCTTGTCATTATAAAAAAGGAATGCTGTAACAAACTAACAATAACGTTATTTACGTACAAGGCATACATTGTGCACATCCAGATGGTAATTTGTATTTTGTTTGTTACTAACCTTGTTAGTTCATGTTATTCTTTCTCAATATTTAAAAATTTAAGTTACTAACACACTTCTTAACAAATATTACTAGCAGGCGAAACATAAACCTCGTAACTATTATACACTAAATGGCGTAGCAATTTTATTTTATTTTATATTTTTTGGGATAACAAAGAAGTAGCATCTTTAGTTATGCGCAAGAATCGATATTGATCTTCAAAATAGTGATGCTTGCCATTAAAAAATGGAAGGAGCTGGTGTAAATGCATAGTCTCTTTTATTATTGCTTGCAAGTATTGGCCTCGGAGCTCTTGGTGTAGTTGCATTGCATATGTTGCTGCACAAACAAATCTTAATAAACAAAACCCCAAACGGTGACATAGGATTATTGAGGCCGAAAGGTCTCTAGTTCTAAGTTCTGAAGGGTCATTGACAACAAAATCTTTACGCTCTATCTCATAAAAGATATTGGTTTTATATGGGTGGGCATCCTAATAAACAAAAACAATAATAAGTGAGGAATTGAGCAATTAGATACAATACGCAGCGTGTCTAACATGTCATTGTCATGAAACGGGTGGGTGTGTAAATGCCATGTCTCTTTTACATTTAATTACACGTGGGATGATGTGTAATTTTATTTTATTTTTAAATCCGTTATATAAATTATTTCCACAGAATCCCAAAATCAAAGAATAAACTTTAAATATATACCACACGTGGTTATTTTACAATTGTTTATCTTTATTTTTTTATCATTTACCTTTTATATAATTTTTTTCTCTGCCGTTCAAAATTGCAAGTGTTGGGAATAATTAAAAAGCGTTATATCTTTCTTTACTATTGATTAAGTATCATTTTTAAAAGAGAAAAATATTTGTGCAGTTATTACACATAAGTTATTTGTATTTATTTTCAAAATGACGTTATTTTAGAATTAAAATATTAAAAAATTATAATTATAAATACTCTAATAACTTTGAAATAAATTAAAATTATAAAAATACCATAATTTTCATATCAAAACGACATCGTATTAAATTTACTGAAAAAAAAAAAAAAAACTGTTTTTTAAAATGATAAACTACAGTCTAAAAATTCATATTATTAAAAATAAAAAAACATATTTCAGAATAAACCCTTGAAGTTAACACAAAACCGAGAGAGAGAGAGAGAGAGAGAGAGAGAGAGAGGGTGAAGTGAAGTAAAATGGATCCTCGCCTTTGGCACAAAGTAGCTGCGATTTCAGGTAGTTTCCGGAACAATCCCTTCCGCTAAACTAGTTTTGTTTTCTTCACTCATCCGTTCCTCGTACCCTTCAGTTCAATAATAACTCTGCTTTTTACTGAAACAGGAGTTGCAGCACTTGGATTGGGCACTTATGGCGCCCATGCCTTCAAGCCCCAAAACCCTTCTTACAAAGATGTCTGTTTCTTCATTTTCCTTTTTTTTACCAATGGCTTTTCATCATAAAGCTTGGTTTTTTATTCCCCCCATTCTTTATTTTTTAATTGGACATTTGGAATTTATCTGTGAAGGTTTGGCACACAGCATCGCTTTACCATTTGGTTCACACCGCCGCCTTAGTTGCCGCTCCAATTACAAAACATCCCAATATTGTAAGGTTCCCAATTCCCATTTCTCACTTTTCCTACTTGCTCTTTCCTTTTCCTTTTCCTTTTTGGCCCTTTTAAATGCTATTACTACTATATGGTTATTAACTTATTATGAAGTGTTTGTGAAATGAAAATATAAAGAACCATTTCAACTAACCAAAAGGTTAAGCTGCTTGAGGCTACATTAATGTTTTATACTTTTCTAATACGATCCATCACACCAAAGCTCTTTCGGGATAAAGGTGGATATTGCATAGCCTCGTCTACTTGTGTGAACAAACTCCACAATATTTATTTAATTATGAATTAAATGGGGGGCAGTGAGGATTAAACCTATGACACCAGAGACTTTAATATCATGTAAAGAATTATTTCAACCCAAAAGTTTAAGTTGTTGGGTGATACTATATTACTAATAGTTTTATACTTCTCTCATATAAAACATCAATTTGTTTTTTCATTCATCATTGTTTGTGCAGTTTGGAGGCCTTCTAACTGCTGGGATCTTGGCTTTCTCTGGGACGTAAGTGATATATCTAGCTTTGCTATTTAAAACTATTTAAATGACTATCTTTGTACCGTGGAATTCTTCTAGATATTTGAGATGCTTATTTTGAAACAAAAGTAAATTGTTTTTCATGTCGCTTTAGTTTTTTTTTTCTTTGGGTAACATTTCTTATGAACAATTCAAGGTGAGCTTAGTGAAAGAGGCTCCCACCATTGTGGAATCTGTGAGACATATATAAATCTCAATTTAATAAAAGATATTTAAGGTTATTCAAGCGAAAAAAGGTGAGATGCATCTGCTCAGGACATTGTGGAAGGTTTGAAGTGTGACATTGATTACCCCATGGCAAAGAAACTGCCACATAATTTTGTCCATTGAACTGAATGAAGGGAAAACTAAAAGATGAAATAATTTGTTTAACGATAGAACCAGATATAGTTGCTCATACCAAAACAAGATTACACGTCCTATTTTATATAAAAATGAAATCACTAACTTCGGCTTCAGGGTTATCAATCAAGGGATGGTTAACCCAGTGCTCCAGAGGACCACCAGGACACCAGTTATCTTTACAGAGTAAAGCTCATATCTTACGGTTAACAATGATGCAATATGATTTTGTAAATATCATTACAGGGACTACCAGGTCTATAGTACCTCAACAAATTTGGGTTGTCTGTTTAGGTAGAAGGATGATTTGAGTGTGATTTAAGATTCTTCAGGCATCTATCTCTGGTGAAAAATAAAAATAAAAGTCACTTTAACAATTTGGAATTTGACTATCCAACCTGAAGAATTCAGCTATTCGGGATCAGGTCCAGGAGATTTACAATTCTCCTCATTTCCCTATTTGTGATTGTTGAGTTCATGTCATCCCAAGTAATACACAGATGAATGTGAGAAAGTGAAGTTTGGAAAATATTAGCAAATTAGCCTCTAATTGGAGACCTAAAATGGAATTGTTTCTCCTTCTTTGCACTACAAAGGAGTGCAATGTTTTAGAATTTACTTCCCATTGTTTGAAGTAGTTAATTTTCGTTTACTATTTCCAACAATAAACAATAGTGTTTTTACTTGACTGCTTGATGGTAAGCAGATTGGATGGCTTTTAACTCGTTAATTTGTTTAGCAGAAGATACTTTATGCTTGGATTTTTGTAGGAAACCAAAAACAAGATAACCTGAGGTTTTTAATGTTAGACCTCTGGGCAGATTTTGAAATATCTTGTATCAGAAGGTTCAGCAATTCACTTTGTCCAATAAATAAGACTAAACTATTACAATACTGTGGAGCTCATGATCTGGTTTTTTTGCTAAAAATATTGGTAAAGAAAATAAGAATGATCATTAAACTGTTTTCATCCATGATGATATTGAAGGAAATGTTGAATTTTTTAGGTGTTATACTGTGGCATTTCTTGAAGACAGGAAATATTCAACCTTGGCTCCATTTGGCGGCTTTGCATTTATAGCAGCTTGGGGTAGCTTGTTTTTCTGATGACCTCAACTCCGTTGGGGTAGCTTGCCATGATGGGTGCAGAAAATTATATATGCATTCTCTCTTATTTCTCTCTTTTAAAAATCATATATATGCGCACTTGCAGGCAAATGCGTGCATAGTGTTGGATTTATGTGGAAGATAATAGTGGCAACTACACCACAAGCTTTCAAGAATTCATTATACTAATAATAATACGTGTAGTTTGTATCATTAAGTTACTAAAATAATTATAATTTGTCGATATATTTCCTGATTTTATTAACTTATATCTTAAAGGCATGGGATCAAGAAGCGAAAAAATAATACTTATTAATCACGACCCAGGTTTGGGCTGAGCTAGGCCCAATATTTAAAAACTTCACTTATAATGTTTCAAAATATCCTTTTAATAATTGCTTTACACTTTTATAAATTTTAATCAAGGTTCGAGTGTTATAGGACAAGAGGTTGTACCTTTAATTTATTCATCTTTTGTAAGGTATTGTCGTTTATCTATGCATACGTCAACATACAGACAGCCAAACAAGTCACAACAATCTAAAGTTATAAAATAGAAAAATAATAATACTGCAGCAAGAAATTTAACATGAAAGTCAGATACAGAGTATTGGCCATCCTGCAACACTTGACCTCATCAATGGTCTGAGTTATGCTACTTGTTTCTGTCCGTCACCTAACCACCCAACATTTGTCCTTGAGTGAACCTAAACAACACTTGATGAATCCACCAAAGAAGCATGCATCTTCTTTTTGCTAAAATTTGTTAGCTGATTCTTGGCTTTGATGATTTGCACACCGATCAAACTATTGTTGTGTCGGTTATGAATGTCAAAGCTTCAATGTTACGTGGACAATCTTCCTCAATTTCTTCTAATGCATCCTCGCGATGTATGTATCATGTTTTCTTGAGTTTTAGAAGAGAAGGGTCCCATTTAGATTTTGCTGGTCACTTATGTGCTTTGTTGCAGCGTAAGGGAGTCATAACTTTCAGAGATGACAAACAACTCCAAAAAGGAGATGTGATTTCGCAAGAACTCCATAAAGCAATTGAGGAGTCCCTTGCTGCAATTGTCACTCTCTCCTAGAAATATGCTTCTTCCACTTGGTGTTGGATGAACTCCAAAACATTCTTGAATCAAAGAGGGTGGTGGGGACAGTGGCGGACTTGCACTTGCACAAGTAAGCGCAAGTGCAGACACAAACTTTCTTTTTAAAAAAAAAAAATTTGTGAAATATACTTGAAAAAGAAACTTACATGTGAATTCTATGAAATAATTTTCTAAAGATTAGAAAAAATATTGTATAACATAGCTGTAGTGAAAAACAAAAATAATATTAACTTGGATATCTATAAATTCTTTGCTATGAACATTAAAAACAGTTTAGTGTGGAAATTGTACCACTGATGCAATCCATTGGAAGCTCCATCGTTTTGGTTTTTTCACCCCAAGCCATAATATACAAGGTATCTGCATCAAATGTTTTAAAACTTAGTAGAAGAACACCAGTACTTGTAAGATTTAAAACATGGACACAATTTTGTTATGCGGAACTTTCTTTAAAAAATATTGTTCGGGGGAACTAGCCCGGAACCTACGCCCCTACATAAATAAAATTTCTTGAGTCTGCTACTAGTTGAGGAGAGAGGTTTGTCCGGTCTTCTATGATGTCAGTCCTTCTGACGTTTAACACCAGAGAAATAGTTTCGCTGAGGCTTTGGAAAACCATGCAACAAGATTTCAAGAAGACTAGGTGCAAAAATGGAGAGATTTCTTAAAAGAAGTTGCTGGTATTTCTTTTTTTCTTTTTTTTGATATATAGTTGCTGGTATTTCTGGGTGGGAGACCAAGAATGAGGAAGTTTTGCTTGCATTAATTTAATTGCATAAGTAATCTTTTTGTCTCATAGCCATAGGTCACAAGTTCCGAATCATATTATTAAGCCACCTGTTCAGTGCTTTAGTAATTTTTCTATGCTGCAGAGTTTGACTTTAACTGATTGCCCAAGGCTTGAGTCTTTGCCTAGGCTTCCACCAAATGTAATGCTTGTTTACAACTAATACTACTCAAATGAAATTAACCCTTAAATCAGGTATATTTTTTATATACACCTCATTAGAGGAAGAATCTTTCCTAATAGAAAATAATAATGTAATTAAAACTATGGTGTCAAGGGATTCGGTCCCAGTTACATAAAGAAGGATCTGGATCATCTCATGTGAAAATTTACATGACCATGTCATGTGGAGAATCATAACCATACAATCATAACTGTTGATTTATCTTTGTATGGTTATGATCTTTTTACATGATCATATCATGTTTTTGTTTTCCACTATGAGATGATCTATTTCCCATAAAGAATGATGCAATTAATTTATATCGTTTAGGATTTTTAGGATATTTTTGAGGTGTTTGTTTAAAGAATGATGCAATTAATTTCCCATAAAGAATGAGTTTAAATTTCTGTTGTAAAGTCTGAAGATCTCTTAGGATTTTTAGGATATTTTTGAGGTGTTTGTTTATTAACAAATAGATTAGTAGTTTGTTACTATCTTGTATATTTGTTTCCTAGAAATTAGGAATTTGTTTTCATTCTTGTGTATAAATATACCTCACACGAGGAACAGAAATATGAGAGAAATGTACCAAACTACCAGTATTAAAGTTTTGACATGGTATCAGTAATGTGGTTCTGATCCTAGGGCCTATATCCAATATTGCTTTACTTCAAACTCTTCCCACCCGTATTCTTTTCTTTTTTCTGACCCACCTACCTACTCTTTCACCTCATCTCTGTATTCTCCTCTGACACACCCACCTGCTCTTTCAATCCCATCCCATCTCTTTATTTCATTTTTTTTTTAAAAAAAAAAAAAAAAATACCAAACCCGTAATCCATTCCTACCCGTAATCAATCTGTCTCTCTTTCACTTTCCCAACCCTTCTTCCTCACCCGGTTTTTTTGACCCGTGTTCTTGACCCGGTTCCTTTTCTCATTTTATTCTAGTTATGGACACCGACAATACCATTCCTTCTCCTGAAACAGAGTCATCGTCTGCATCCATCCCTCCACCTCCCTCTAATATTGTTATCCATCAGGACAGCTCCTTTTTTCCGGTCACTGTAATCCTTGATGAGTCTAATTACCCTCTTTGGTCTCAGCTTATGGACATGAGGATTGGAGCTCGTAACAAATCGGACTACCTAACTGGTGCCGCGAAGAAGCCATCCGTCGAGGATCCAGCTTATGCGAGCTGGGTGACTGAAAACAAGCGTGTGAAGAGCTGGCTAATTGAATCAATGAATCCCTCCTTCATGCAACGATTTCTTCGTCTCGAGACTGCCTCCGAGATATGGGATGCTTCTCTTCGAACATTTTATGACGGGTCGGATGAAACCTGTCTTTTTGAGCTCAATCAGCGGTCGTTCACTACGAAGCAACATGGCCGTCCTCTTTCGGTATATTACAATGAATTGGTTTCCATCTTTCAGGATATTGATTATCGTATGTCTTCTCAGGCCACTACGGTTGCAGAGGTTGTGGAGATGCACTCCACCGTGGCTCGCCTCCGTGTTTATATATTCCTGAGTGGTTTGGACTCTGAGTATGATTCGGTTCGTGGGGAGATACTTCGCAAGGACCCCAAGCTGGACCTCGAAGGGAGCTATGCTTACGTCCGTCGTGAACATCAACAACGTCTGACTATGGGACGTCCTCCAGTTGGTTCTGAGTCATCGGCTCTCTTGACTCACTCTGCTCGTCCTTCTCCTGGTGGTTCCGGTTCCTCCAAACCACGCAAAGCACCATTTCCCAGCAAGACTAGTCCTCTTCTTTGTTCTCATTGTGGTGATTCAGGTCACACTAAAACTCGTTGTTATGAAATCGTTGGGTACCCTGAATGGTGGGATTTCTCTAAGCGCCCTCGCCGAAACGTTCTTAATAAAGCTCTTGCAACAAAAAATGGTGCTGACTCGTCTGCCCCTCCCATTGCTAATGCTGTCTACGAAGGTATCTTAGGTAAGTCCTATGGTTTCTCCACTCAATCTCGGAATTCTACTTGGATAATAGATACTGGTGCGTCTGATCACATGATTTCTCATTCCCATGCTTTAACTGACTTCCGTTCCACTTCTAAAACCATGATTTCCACTGCCAATGGAGGTACTTCCGTTATCACTGGCCAAGGTTCTATTGTTTTATCTCCAAAATTAACTCTCCATTCTGTTTTAGTAGTTCCTTATCTTGAATTTAATCTTCTGTCTGTAAGTCAATTAACCTCACAACTTGATTGCAGGGTTATTTTTTGGCTTAATTTTTGTGTCTTTCAGGGAAACCAGAATCAGGAGATCCTTGGTTATGGTGTTAGACACGGCAAGCTGTATTTCTTGGACTCTTCCAGTTGTTCCCTTTCTCCTTCTGTCTACTCTTCTGCTGTTTCGACTTTGGATAATAAAACTGATTCTGTTTGGCTCTGGCACAAGAGACTTGGCCATCCATCTTTTAGCTATCTTAAAAAATTATTTCCACAGTTTTTTGTTCATTTAGATGTTGCTGATTTTAAATGTAAAATTTGTGAGCTGGCTAAAAACCACCGCAATTCTTTTCCTCCAAGTACGAATAAAAGTTCTATTCCTTTTGAAGTAGTGCACTCTAATGTATGGGGTCCCTCTAAAGTCTCCTCTCTGTCTAAATCTCATTACTATGTTTCTTTTATTGATGAATGTACTTGAATGGTGTGGATTACTCTGCTTAGAAATAAAAATGAAGTATTTTCTGCATTTAAGAAGTTTTATGCGATGGTACAAAATCAATATTCTTCCTCAATAAAAATCTTTCAATCTGACAATGGTTTAGAATATATGAATGGTTTGTTCTCAGATTTTCTATCATCTCATGGCATAAAACATCAATCTTCTTGTCCGTATACACCTCAGCAAAATGGCTTAGCTGAGAGGCGAAATCGACAATTGTTAGAAATTGTGCGGGCTTCTTTATTTGGAATGAATGTACCTTCTTTTTATTAGGGGGAAGCATTTGTCTCTGCTGCTTATCTCTTAAACAGAACTCCCTCTAGTGTACTCCATTTTAAAACCCCACAACAAACTCTTGAATCCCATTTTTCTATTCCTCATGTTCCTAATCTTGAACCGCGAGTTTTTGGCTGTACTACTTATGTTCATCTTCCCAAACCTACTCGGACAAAGCTAGAACCATGTGCAAAAAAATGTATTTTTGTTGGC